AATTAAAATAAGCATGTAACGACCACAAACGGAGGAAAATAGCAGAGTAAAAGTACCGATACATCACTTAAAATGTACTCAAGTAAAAGTAAAAGTACACAATTTTTAAACTACTCAAAAAAGTACAATTACTGATAAAAACTACTTAATTACTGTAACGTGAGTATTTGTAATTCGTTACTTCACACCTCTGCATTCAGTCCACTGATGCAAAATCTCAAATTTCATATTATCCTCAATGGGTTTGGCTACACATTACTCCATACTTATAAAGTAGGATATAGGATAGTATAACTACTGAGAAAGTAATTAAATGTATGTACATAAAATATTGATGAGTTTAAATTATTTCATTATGTGAGAAGAAAGAAAGTATGGAGTGATACAGGAGACATTAAAATCAATAGCTACAATATGTAGGAAATCAGTTTCAGAGGGCCATCTAATAAAAAAAATAAATAAATAAAAAAAAATTGAAAGCACTCACAACTTTGCACATTTAGTATGTCTTATTTACCACACAGTTGAGACAGACCACTGGTATTACAATTAATGGGTGAAATTGGAAAGGGCAATATGATGACTTTAGTGAAGTAAATCCCTCATTCTATATAAAAGAGCCAGTAAGTCACTGTTACTGCCTAATCTTTATGGTAGTTTTTGCTGTTAGGTGACAGCGTAGCTGCAGCTGCAGCTGCTGTTGAAAACTCCAGATACCATAGAAACAACCAAAAAATGGTTAGTGTTGTCAGAATTTGTGCAGCATTTACTGTACTGCACAAACACATTATCTGGACCAACCAGAAAAAAAATATATATATATAATTTGAAATATGATATTGAAATGTGAGTTAAAACCAGTTAAACTCTGCGGACCCGGATACGGGTCCAAAATCGCGTTAAAAATGTTTATGCTTCATTTACATAGCCTTCCTTATATGGTATCAGCCCATATATGGGTTCATTTGAAAGCTTGGAGTGTCTTCTTTACAAATAAGTAAATTTTACTTATATTTGTATATTTTATCTTATATTTACTTATATTTTTAATATAAAAAAGTATATTTTATATTCATAAAGCAGTAAAATTAAGCTTAGAAATGTATTTGTCCCACACACGAATTTCCACCTAACCATTGCGAATAATTTTTACGAAGAATGTGTATTTTATATATTTTTCACAAAAAAGTCAAGTCATATATCACAAGAAAGCTCTCATTCTCAGGAAATTGACGATGTAGATTATTTAATTGTGTGACAATCACAGATCGAATTATCTTTGATAGAATCGCGATGTAAAATTTGGTCACCTCCACATATAATGTAGTAACTCCTGTTTAGAAGCTGTTATTTGAAAGTTTTTTTTTTCTGGTACTTTTTGGCATCTAGTGGCATAAAACACAGTAAATTGCAGAGAGCTGGGCCTAATAGAACCTGAATTACAGAAATACCAAAAACGCCCCAGAGAATAAGTGGTTTTTAAACAAGTCGTTTTTGAGATTTTGCCATTTTCATTCGGTATCACTTTATGTTCTGTCATTAATTAATAACTTCACAGGAACAAATGAGTAACACTATTAGATACTCTGATTAACCATTTTGTAAGTAATAGCACACACTTAAATGCAGTCGTTTACAATTAGCTAATAAATAAAAATGTTATGCCTCAAGGAGAACTACTAATAAGAACTTTATAAATGTAGTTCCCCTTCAGGAACTCGAGCTGCGTTGGAAAACGCTATGGGAACGCCTTCAGCGTAACCACGCTGTGAATCACATGTGTAATCAGTCCAATGGAAGGGCGAGACGTCATAGGTGGATGACGTAGCGACCAGGAAGCTATAAAAACACGTGAGCTGGAACCGGCGTCAGCTTTCTGTCATTCAGCAAGCGCTCTATGTTGTGTCAGTCATACTTTTCATTCTCTGAGTCTTATTTGATGTTGTTTGTCTGAAAAACAAAATATATATAATGGCAAAGGCTACAGAGAAAACAAAGCATAAGGGCGAAAGCGGACAGCGTTTCAGGCTGTGTGTTCCTCCCTGCCCTCGCTACATCAAGAGCGGGGATGCACACAGTCTGTGCGTTGTCTGCTTGGGGGCGAAGCATGTGGAGTCGGCTCTCAAGGGGGCCGACTGCCCGCATTGTGAGCGAATGTCATTGTGCTCGCTTTACTCCTGGAAGGCTCTCTTCGAGGAGGGAGCCTTCACCAGCATTCCTCGCGGTGTGGGTCCCGATTCAGCCAATGCTGAGGGGCGGCTGCATTCGTGGGGTTCGCAATTGGATTTGATGGAGGGAATGGAGACGGGCGAGTCCCTTTCTCCTTCCTCACCCGCCAGATCTGGTGCCCGCTCTCTAGGATCGGAAGCCCACTCTGCGGTTTCTTCCCCCTGGGAACGGGCTCGACGCTCCACCTATCTTCCTCCGAGGAGGTTGATATGGAGGGCGTCGATGAGGATTCGCCCCCTCTCTCAGCCCAGTATGAGGAGTTGTTGGAGGTGGTTACTCGTGCCGTGGCTAAGTTAAATATCGATTGCCCCGCCAAGAAACAGGCTGAACCG